GTGTACACAGGAATGCATTGCCTCAGAAGGAGGGAGCTCCCGGCTCGGATGGTTCCCACAGAGGCTGGAAGAACCTTGTTGGCTGCTTGGGCTCCCTGCAGAGAGGGAGTTAAGTTTTCTGATCACCAAATCTTCCAACTCCAAGGTGTTAGAAGCCTACGAGACACAGATAGGCTGTGCTGGCAAGGTACGTGATACCAGAAACGCCGACAGCTCCAGTGCGATCTAATCTCCTCAGTTTGAAGCTGTGTTTGCATCATCACCGACTGTTTTGGAAGGGTTTGGCCTGTGGAAGGCTCTGATGGAAACTTGAAAGAGCCCGCGTTCCCACCTGCTCGGGGCTGACATTTTTCTTCTCTCTAGTCAGTGTTTGTTCTGGCCGTGAGCCACCGCAGAGCTCAACCGATGGAGGTGAACTCTGGTACCCATGCGCTGCTGTGAGCAGCCGGGAGTGGGACCCAGAGGGATGCCAGGAAGGCCCCGGGGTGCGGGGGCTGCGGGTGGCAGGGGCGGGATGAAATTTCCCAAGAGCTCTGAAACCAGTCTGTGTGTAATGCTGTGTCTTGCTCAAGTCTTTAGACTGGGACCGCTGGGTGGGAGCAGAGAAGTGGAAGGGCACATGGCGGCTCCAGAAATAAAAGGTGGATCCAAGTGCACAGAAGATGTGTGATGGGAACACTGAATGGCTTGAAGCAGAGGAGTGATGGGATTTTATTTGTATCTGAAAAGAAATCACTGTATTGTTTGGTGAGTGGGTGCCGAAGTACAAAATTTTCAAGAGACGGAGCTGGGTTAGAAAGGGTGGTGGACGAGGAGGTGGTGAAACATGAGATTAGGGAAGGACACTGAGGTGCTGAAAGGACTGGTGGACAAGCTCTGGGTACATCAGGAACACTATGCATCAGGTACAGTGTTCCTTGAACACAAGTACTGCAATACCGCCACAGTCAACCTGATAACAGAGATGGTCCCTAAGTGAGCAACATAGGGGACAGTATACAGCATGGAGACACCGGACAAAGGGATTATTCATGTCTGGAGAGGGACAGAGGGGATGCCATGAGATTTCATCACATTACTCAGAAGAATTGTTTATTTCTGGAACTTTCCATTTAACATTTTCAAACTGCAGTTGAATGCAGGTAACTGAGTCCATAGAAAGCGCAACTGTGGACAAGGCGGGGGACTACTGTATACAAAGAACTCTTAAAATTCAACAACAAAGAAACAACCTGATTGGAAAATGGGCAAAGATCTTAACAGACCCTTCACCAAAGAAGATATACAGATGGCAAATCAGCATATAAAAAGATGCTTCGCATCATATGTCACCAGGGAAATGAACATTAAAACAATGGGATACCACTCTGCGCCTATTAGAATGACCCAAATCCAGAACACTGACATCAAGTGCTGGCGAGGATGGGGAGCAACAGGAACTCTCGCTCATTGCTGGTGGGAATGCAGCCCCTTTGGAAGGTGAGTTCTTACAAAACTAAACATACTCTTACCATATGACCCAGCAATAACACTCCTTGGTATTTGTCCCAAGGAGCTGAAAACTTATGTCCCCACGAAAACTTGCACACAGATATTTACTGGAGTATTATTCAAAATTGCCCAAACTTGGAAGCCACCAAGATGTCATTTGTAAGTGAGCAGAGAAACAAACTGTGGTTCATCCAAAAAATGGAATATTATTCATCTCTAAAAAGAAATGAACTATCAAGCCATGAGAAGACATGAAGAACACTGACATGTATATTACTAAGTGAAGAAAACTAAAATGAAAAGGCTACCCCTATTGTGTGATACCAACTATATGACATCCTGAAATGGGCAAAAATAATAGTATGGAGACAATAACAAGATTTGTAATTGCCAGGAGTTGATTAACCCAGAGGGATGGGCGATGCGAACACTGATGAATAGGGGAAGCACAGAGGATGTTTAGGCTAGTGAAACTACTTTGGGTAAATGTCATTACACATTTGTCAAAACCCATAGAACGTACACCACCAACGGTGAACCCTAATGTAAACTATGGACTTTGGGCAATTATTATGCATCAATGTAGGTTCATCGATTGTAAAAAATGCACCACTTTTGAGGGGGATGTTGACAATGGGGAGGCTGTGTGTGGCAAGGTTCCTGTGGGAAGTCGCTGTACCTTCTGCTCTATTTTGCTGTGAACCTAAAACTTCTCTAAAAAATTAAGTATATTTAAAAAAATAGTACAGCCCGTAGCCATATAACTTATAGAGGAAAAGCTCCTTGACATTGGTCTTTACAGTGATTTTTTGGGTGTGACACTAACGCACAAGCAATAAAACAACAAATCAACAAATGGGACTCTGTCAAACTAAAAGCTCCTACACAGCAAAGGAAACATTAACAAAATGAAAAAACCTACAGAATGGGAAAAACATTTGCAAACCACATATCTGATAAGGGGTTAATACCCAAAATAGATAAGAAACTAATACAATCCATTAATGAAAACTCAAATAATCCAATTTAAAAATGGGCAAAATACATGAATTGACATTGCCCCAAAGAAGATATTCAAATGGCCAACAGGTACATGAAAAGATGCTCAACACCACTAATTGTCAGGGAAATGAAAATCAAAACCACAATGAGATATCACCTCACACCTGTTAGAAAGGCTGTCATCAAAAAACCTAGAGATAACAAGTACTAGAGAAAGGGGACCCATGTGAAGAAAAGGGAACCCTTGTGCACTGTTGGTGGGAATGTAAATTGGTTCAGCCACTATGGAAAACAGAAGCTCCTCAAAAAATTAAAACCAGAACTACCATATGATCCAGAAATCTTACTAGTGGGTATATGTCCGAAGGAAGTGAAATTACTGATTTAAAGAGGTACCTGCACCTCCATGTTCACTGCATCATTATTCATAAGTGCCAAGACATGGAAACCACCTATGTGTCCATCAATAAATGAATGGGGGAAAATAAATGAATGGGAATGTGATTACACACACACACACACACACACACACACACACACACACACACACAGGAATATTATTCATCCATAAAAAAGAAGGAAATCCTACTATTTGTGACAACATGATGAACCTTGAGGGCATAATGCTAAGTGAAATAAGTTGGACAAAGAAAGACAAACACTGTATAATTTCACTTACATGTGGGATATAAAAAACTGAACTCATGGAAACAGAAAACAGATTGGTGGTTGCTAGAGGTGGCAGAGGGGGTCGGGGAAAATGGGTATAGCTGGTCAAAAGGTATAAACTTCTAGTTATAAGATAAGTAACTTCTGGGGATGTAACATACAGCTTGGTGACTATAGTTAACAATACTGTATTGTATATTTGAAAGTTTGCTAAGATAGTAGACCTTAAAAATTCCCACTATTAAGAAAAAATTATAACTATGCATTTTGTAATATATATATATAATCATTATTTTGTACACCTTAAACTAATACAATGTTAATATGTCAATTGTATTGCAATAAAACTGGAAAAAATAGTGCAAACAAAATTTTCCCAAATTGGCCCATATAATGCTCCATCATCCCAGAGTCTTTTCATGCACATTTCCTAACACGAGGACATTCATAACCATCAGAATCCCATCACCCTTGACATACCACTACCATCTAATCCCCAGACCTCACTCAAATGTCTCCAGTTGTCCCAATAACATCCTTTATAGCAAAAGGACCCAAACTGGGGCCACATGTCACCTATAGTGGCCAAGTCTCCTCAGTGTCTTTCAGTGCGAACACGTCCCATCTTTCCTTGGTTCTCAGGACCTTAATGTTTTTGAAACTTACAGGAGAGGGACTCTGCTTAATGCCCCTAACTTGGTGTTTTCTCATGATTAGACCAGGTTCTGAGTCTTTGCTAGACCCATCACAGAAGGATGCTGGGCTCCTCTGCATCCTATTAAGGGGCACAGATTCTCAGTGTGTCCTCTTACTGATGACACCCATTTGGATCATTTGATTAAGGAGGTGTCTGCCAGGCTCCCCCCTTGTCAGAGTGTTCCCTTCCCGTTGGAATCAGTAAAGATGTTGTGGGGAGGGTCTTAGAAAATATGAAAGCCTCCCATTTCTTGTTAAGCATTCCCCACTGGTTTTAGCATCTGTTCATGATTCTTGGCTGAGTATGACTATGATGGTGACCATAGAAGGGGCTGCTCCATAAATTTGTTTAATGAATGAATCTGCATCTCACAGCCCCAAAGGTCTACAGATGTGACCACATTCCCTTGTGCCAAGAACTCACAGAAAGAGAGGCTCATACTCTTCTCATGAAGCTCAACACAGGGCAGGGGTTCCCTCTGTCATCCATCCATAGATGCTCCATCTATAATCTCACCTGCCCGCTACTCCCTCACCCTGCCAGCAAACTCTTACCTGTATAAGATTCCCTCAAGACACTCAGCAGAGCAAACCTGATCCTGGGAACAATGAGTCATCTTTTAAGAGTGCAATGGGAAGTCAATGAAGGATTTTAAGCAGAGGAGTGACACATTTGATTGATGTTAAGCAAAAACAAAACGAAACCAAAATTCTGAATTACGATCCTTCCTCTCTCTTCCCTAAAACAAAATTTGACTTCCCTCTGGGCCAACCCTAGCTACCCCAGAGGTATTGGTATGATGATGAAATTCATGCTCAAGTGCCAGTGTCTGACTGGGAAGCAAACATCCTGGCTGCTGTGTGAACAGCTAGGAGTGGTGCAAGGTTTTCAGCCAGGGAGACTAGTGAAGTCTCAGTGAGAACATTCTGTTTTCTTTGCTTTCAAGAAGTCTGGACAGGGACTCCGCTGATGTGCATGTGGGAAGGGTAAATGCAGGGCGGGGGTGTGGCTCGGTGAGGTGGGGGGAAGAAAGGGGCTCTCAGCTCTTTAGAGAGCTCCTGGGGCGGTGGACTGCAGGAGGTTCTGTATGCCCCCCCTCCTCCTGCAAGCCTCTCCGAATCCTGCCCTGGAGACACCATACCTTTGGTTTCCTTGAGCAGCTCATCAGTGAACTTGACCACCTCGACCACCTCCACCCACGGGAAGCCTTTGCCCACGGCAAAGATGATGCTCTCATAGAGGGTATCCAGCAGGATGCTTCTGCGGGAGTCTCTCACTTCGTCAAACTTTTCCCAGTCCAGCAGTCTCCGGAGGTGCTCCCGACCTTCTGGTTTCTGAGAGGCATGACATGAGGGGTGGAGGGTGACATCGGGGAATCAGGATCACTGGGCAAAACACTCCTAGGGTCCCCACATGGCTCCCTATTGTCCTGAAGAGTGACCAAAGAATGTGTGTCTGCCTGGTCAGAATGATGCCTTCGTTTCTAGACAACAACCCCCCTCTCCCCCTTTCTGAGGATGCACTCTTCTTTCTAGCGTTGCTCATGCCTCTGAGCATTCTCATGCTAGCCATGGCAGATCTGAGTATGTAAACCTCCAGCAGACTCCATGTCCTGAATCACAGTCCTTCCTTTCTCTTCTCTGAAACAAAATAAGACTTCCTTCTGAGCCTACTTTCCTCTAGCTGCCCCAGAGGTAAATTCATACTAAAGTGTCAATGACTGAGAAGAGGCTTGGCAAGGCAGAGGGTGACATCGGGGAATCAGGATCACTGGGCAAAACACTCCTAGGGTCCCCACATGGCTCCCTATTGTCCTGAAGAGTGACCAAAGAATGTGTGTCTGCCTGGTCAGAATGATGCCTTCGTTTCTAGACAACAACCCCCCTCCCCCCCTTTCTGAGGATGCACTCTTCTTTCTAGCGCTGCTCATGCCTCTGAGCATTCTCATGCTAGCCACGGCAGATCTGAGTATGTAAACCTCCAGCAGACTCCACGTCCTGAATCATGGTCCTTCCTTTCTCTTCCCTGAAACAAAATAAGACTTCTTTCTGAGCCTACTTTCCTCTAGCTGCCCCAGAGGTAAATTCATACTAAAGTGTCAATGACTGAGAAGAGGCTTGGCAAGGCAAGAAGGAATGTATCTTGCCTGGTGAAAATTCAGGCACTCTGGCAGGCCAGCGGGGTAAAGATTGATCAGGGTACCTTTTTCCCCAATCTATAGGGGAGGTCCCATTTTACTTGAGTATTTGTCTGGTCCTTCCAGAAAGGCTCTTACAGATCACCACCAGATGGAGAAGAAACAAGTGCCTTGAAGGGAAGGGGTAAGAAGAGGCGTGGCATGGAGTGGAGACCCACGAACCTCAGAGCATTGCTCCCCTGGCAAGGGAGAAGGCTCTGGCTGGGGGGACTGTCGATGGAGGGGGCAGGATTGATGGCTGAGTTGGTGCCAGAGAGAGGCCCAGGGCCCTGTCCTCAGCCCCCAGGGCTTCCTGTCCCCCACCACCACTCTGCTCTGACCCAGGCAGTCCTTCGCTGCAGCCTCACAGATGCCCAGGGTGGTGTCTGATGGGACAGCTCATTGACACACTTGGCTGGGACTCAGTGCCTGCACCCCTCTGTGGACAGCCCTGCTCTGGAAGGAGCTTGCTGATGGGTCCAGGCCCTACGGCTGGGATCCTCATCACTCCTTGTCACCAAATTGGTTCTGAGAAACCAAAGAAACTGACCTTTCCCTGCCTTAAAGAAACAGACCCCCCCCACACACACACATATACACCATACACCATACACTCCTTACACACAACTGACCTTTCCCTGCCTTAAAGAAACAGACCCCCCCCCCCACACACATATACACCATACACTCCTTACATACGTTGGCATACAATCCCAGAGGACTCCCTGGGCCCCGAGGCTCCTCAGAAAGAGGTGGCACCCCCTGTGATAGCCCTCAGGGCCTCCTCACCCTCCTGGGGCGAAGGCAGCCCCAGAGCCCACATACCCACCCTTCCCTCCCTCCAGCAGGCTCTGGGCATCAGGGGCTGTCCCTTTAGGCTCTGAAGACAGCCCCAGCTCCAAGGGCTGGGGAGCCTTTGGCCGGGCATTCTAGAGTGGACACACCCATTGGGGGCCTCAGAGGTGGTGTCGGGAAAGGGGTGATGTCCAAGGTGTCCATCTGAGGAGGCACCGTGAGGGGCCACTTCTCACACGCACCTCACTGCTAGACCAGTCTGAGCAAACTTCCTTTTAAAAGGCATGTTTTCTCTTCACCTGAAGTTGGAAGACATTTTTCACTCCCTGGGGTGTTAAGAATGCCATTGCCCCTGCATCCAGTTGCTAGTGGACCCACCAGGACTGACTCAGTTCCCAGAACCTGGGGGTGAGGGCAGGGCTTTGTGAGGTCATGGAGACTGGCTTTCAGGTGGCTTTTTTTTCAGGCTCCTTTCCTCCTGGCCCCTCATCTCCAGCTGGGCTCTGGGTCTCTCCCTGACACCTGTTTGGGGACCCTGATCCCTTCCCCACTTTCAACATCTCCCTCATAGCCCATTTGCCTTCTGGAGGTGAGCCTTCTCAGGTTTCCCTGCAAACACCCCTCACCTTCATCCAACATATTCCCCACCCAAACCCCATTCTCTTCTTCCTCCGGCAGTCAAGGACTTGTCTCCATGCAAAGGTGCCCTGCATTTGTTCTCTTCACTAGGATCTGGCTTCCTTCTCACTTCTGGTCACTGCCGATGACTCCGTTTCCAGCACCCTGACTTCGCTTTGGGGTGCAGGAAGGAGCTCGGCAGGGCTGTCTCCATGTGCAGTGCCCGAGCATCCACATGCTGAGATTCGCAGGGCTCCAGTCTCTCACTCCCGGCTGGTTATGTCCTTCTCTGTCCTGGAAGCCCTGGTGTCCACTGGTCACCTGAGGGGCAAGTCCTGCTCTCCCCTGCCTCCCAGCTATAAACCCCAGCTCTGTGCGCAGGAGCCATAGTGAGGAAAGACGGGGGCATTGGCTGGGGTTGGTGGCTGAGACGTCTGGTCCTGGGGCTGCCTCCACTGGTACCTGGCCAGGTCTCCTCGGCTCTTTGGGTTTGAGACTGGCCAGGGGTTTCTGTCCAGGAATGAGAGCAACCAGGTTCTAGCTCTTGCCCCAGTAGGGGGAGGAGTAAGAGCGCCTAAGTTTCCAGCATCTGCCACCTCAACTACTCAGAGCCATCCTCCCCGTGGGCCACATGACTCCATCAAGTCTTGTTCCACGGCCCACCTTCCGTACCCTCACGGTCATACTACTACAGGCCCTCAGCACTCCTCCCACAAGAGGAGAGATTTGGTTAGGATCACATTGTCCCACCCCAGCAGATGATCAGGAGCAGGGGGATGGGGAGGGGGTGTCCTTTCCTGCTGTGAGGCTGCCGGGCTCCTCATGCAAACTTACCCATTCGTCAACAACTTTCACACTCTTGTTTATCCACCGAGGGGCTGAACATACGAAGTGCACCCCTGCGCAACATGTAGTTGCCATGTTGTGGGTCCCTTTCCGTCCTTGTCATCCTTGGTGGCTGCCTCTGTTGAACACATGTTTACTTCTTGGCTTCTAATAAGCTGTTCTCTCCTGGATGATCGCCTGTCTCTCCACGCATTCCTTCCCCACCTTCTATGAAGGCTTCCCTTCCTCTGCTCATCCCCTACATGTTGGAGCACTCCAGGGTCTGTCTGCATGCCCTCTTTTCTTTCTAGAGCACATATTCCTTTTTTGTAAAGAAAAAATATTTTTTATTGATTTTTCTTTTAGAAAGAGAGGAAGGGAAAGAGAAAGAAACATTGATCGGCTGCCCCCTAATAGGGATTGAGCCCGCAACCTGGGCACATGCCCTGACCAGGAATGGAACCAGCAACATTTTGGTGCATGGGATGACACTCAACCTCTGAGCAACACCGGCCAGGGCCACATATTCCTTTTGCAAATTCTAATACAGCTAGAACAGAACCTGAGATCTATGCTCAATACGTTTCCAAGTGCAGAGTACAGTGCTGTTAATGATAGTCACCCTGTTGTACACCGACCTCTAGAACTATCCATCTTGCCTAATTGAAGCTTTATGCCTCTTGATGAGCAACTCTCCATCCTGCTCTCTCCCCAGACTCTGGCAATCACCATTCTACTGCCTGACTCTGTGAGTTTGACTAATTTAGATACCTCATGGGAGTGGAATCATGCAGCGTTTGTCCTCTGTGACTGGCTGATTTTTTTCTATTGGGCTAAAATACACATAAGATTGACTTTTTAAATGAGTTCAGTCAGTTAGCGCTATTCATGTTGTTGGGCAGCCATCCCCACCGTGCATCTCCATCGCTTCCCCAGCTCCCCAGCTGAAACAGTCCTCACTAAACCTGCCCGTTCTCCCCTTTCCCCAGCTCCTTTCCACCACCGTTTACTTCCTGTCTCTATGAATGTGAGTACTCTGGGTATTAGTGTAAGTGGAATTATACAGTGTTTGCCCTTTTGTGACTGGCTTCTTTTCTGGATGGGAGTGTTTGTGACAGTTCTTGTCCTTTGCTGCCATTGTATATGGGGCACACTGGGGCGGACTCTTTGATTGTTAGAGCTTTGGGCCACGAGGGACCACATCTTAGACATGATAGAGAGAAGAGCATCACCCAGAGTCCTTTGTGTCCCTTAGTGGGAATGTGAATATGAAAGCAAAGGAGGGTACTTATGGATGATGGGTAGCTCAAGAGGGTGGATCCTGGCAGATACTGCTTGTGGTCTGTTCGGTATTTATTCTCCCCTAGTCTTACCATAGAACCCTAGTTTTCCCAAGGGCAGTAATGTGCACAGCCAAAAAACATTTCCTTGCCTCCCTTACAGATAGTAGTGGTCATGTGACATAGCTCCTGGATAGGTTTTCCAGCCTTTGGAAAGTCCATTTGAACTTTATCTCTTTCTTTCTTCTGATTGGGAATGCAGAGGTGATTGCCGGAGCACCAGCAGTCATATTGCAAACACGAGAATGAGAATCCTATCCAGGTCCCTGAGGACAGCCAAGGTCTGCTGCACCAGCCACTGGCTATTGACCTCTGCACCTTTCATGATATGAAAGAAAACACACACACACACACACACACACACACACACATCTTGTTAAGACACTGTTATTTGGGTTTAGAGTTACACGTAGCTACCTACACTCAATCTCTCAGTGCTAGAGACACTAATTTCTAAGACTCAAATTGGGTCAAATCAGGTCATGAGATGGACCAGGCAATGAGGGGTTCTTGTTCACAGAAGTAAAGCGATTTGCCAGAATCAGGAAGTGGGGGCGTTTAGGTTGCAGGATATGTCCCCTGGTCACCAATGTGAGCTGCACGTCCGACTTCCTGTCAGGACCCTGAGAAAGAGACAGTCTGTCATCTTGGGAGACTGTTCCCGGGCTGGAGGAGGATGGGAATTCTCATTAACATGAAAGGAGCCCATCAAGGACAAACCATCATGATGAGCCAAGATTCTACCCCATTGTGGACACTTCTCAGAAGATAAATTTAGCCTTCGTGACGTGCAGCCTGTTAGACAGGTAGGAACCCTTCGTTTTCCTGGGAAGGACCCCTGGAGGTGGGGTGGAGGGAGACAGTGGAGAAAGGTCATTTTTAGGGCACAGTAAACCTCTGCATGTTATTCATTCATTCACTCATAAAAATGTTTATTGCGCATTGAAGAGTCGCCATCCTATTAAAAGCAGGAGCTACAGAGACGCCTGTAAAGTCTTCTATGACGTGGCCCTGACTTCCCCTTTCCCCGTTTCCCAGCACTGTCCTCCTGTCCTCACGCCTCCTCTGCTTTATCTGCTGGACGTTCTAGGCCTTGGGGCACCTCCTTCTTGGGATCTTTGTATCTTTCATTGCCTCTGTCTTGAAGATTCTTCTCCCAGGTCCCTGCTTAGCGAACTCACTTCACTCAGGCCTTGCCATCCTCAGAGACGATCCCTGTCCCCATCACACCTTTACAGTGGCAGCCCCTTCCTCTCTCTAGCTCCTCATTCTGCTTTCTTTTCCTTCACAGCATTACCACCTTCCACATGTTTATTACTATATGTTTGCTGTCCCTCACGGGAATGGAGTGTCCGTGAGGGCGGGGTATTGGCTTTGCTCACTGAGGGGACACCATGCCTAAAAGACTGTGTGGTGGGAAGCAGATGCTCCACATGTATTTACTGAACACGGGCCTTGCCCCCAACCTGTGCCCACTCCAGGGAGGAGTAGACCGTGTCACAGATGTGCTGTCTAATGTAGTAACAGTGCATGGTGGGAAAGGGGGGCATGGAAGAGAGAGGGGCACCCAGTCCAGACGGGGATGGCTTCCTGGAGAAACTGACACAGCCCTTGTGCCTGGGCATAAGGTATTGTCTGGGGGAGAAAGAAGTGGAGGATCTTGGGGATAGGAGAGATGAGGGACCTGCCATTGCAGGATGGGGGCAAACACAGTGGAGGAGGCTGGGGTCTGAGGGGAGGCCACTGTGCGAAGTCCCCAGCGGTGGGGCAGGGAGAGGATCAAAGGCTTTGACCTGCAGGGGTGTGTCAGAGTCACTTTAAACTGTCCTTCCTCACCCCCAAAGTCACAGTTGTCTATTCTACACACGGGTCTGATTGGGGAGAAATCAAGATCAATGTAGGGCAGAAAGGTAGCAATTCAAAAGTCACTCTGTGAAGGATTGGGAACGTGGCAGTAATAAATGAGACTTGGGGGCAAAGGGGGAAAAGTTCTAGCCCCCCAAATTCCTTCAGAGATATGGGATAGGTGCTGAGTTTTCCACCCAGGTGGGTGGGGTTGGAGTCTGTTTAACTGCTTCTCCAGAAGAGAGAGGGACTCCAGTCTGATTTCAATAGCAAGGCAAGGATAATGTCCTCACTGAGAGGAAGGGGTGGGGATGGGGTGCAGGCCAGTGGGGCGAGCAGAGGTTCGGAAGATGCACAGGCTGGGGATGCATGCAAGGAGAGCCCTGGATCCCCCAAACCCCAGCTGTGGGAAAGCTTAATTCAATCAAAGCCTTCACCACACTGAGCGAAGGACTCAGTCAAGGTCTGCAGTTTCCCTGAGGGCCTCTCTCGAGAGGAGGGTATGGCAGGGAGGCCAGGACCAGGGATTTCCCTGAGGGCCTCTCTCGAGAGGAGGGTATGGCAGGGAGGCCAGAGGGACCAGGGACCTGAGGCTGGTAAGGAGGGAGCCTGGGAGCCTGCGCGGTGAAAGAGAGAGACTAGAGACTCCGCACATCAGCCCGTTAGAACACGTTTTGTTTCTTTGGCATTTCTAGTGCTTAGAACAGTATCAGACACAT